ACAGACAGACAGACAGACAGACAGACAGACAGACAGACAGACAGACAGACAGACAGACAGACAGACAGAAAAACAGGCAGGCAGGTAGACAGAGAGATCGACAGCTATGCAGGCTAAGGGATGGTCAGGTGAACGGGTGGGTAGCTAGCCAGCCAGCCAGCCAGCCAGCCAGACGGCTTGACGGGCAGAGCCTGACAGGCAGACAGGCAGACAAACAGACAGACAAACAGACAGTGGGACTACCGAACGAATGCGCGACAGCAAAACAAGAGAACAAAAGAGATGGTGCGGAAAATGACGAGATTGGGGCTATTGAAGGGAGAATGTGGGATGAGAGAGCAGGGCGCAGGGTGTGTGCATGTGTCGATCTCTCTGCTTTCAGCATAGCAACCACATACCCGTCCGCTCATCTCTCGTCGCCCACCAGACGTTAGACTAGCTCGCAACATCAGCAGTCTAAAAATAGACACGCGATACGGAACTTCATTCTACGCATCTCGTACATATAGCGCGCAGAAGAGGAGTCTGTGTGTGGCTGACATTTATCAGTGACAGGCCCCCATTCGCTAGCCTACCAGTTTTGATGCAGGCCAGGATATCTGGCAGTCGTAATTTTTATCTTAGTATCTATCTCCAATGGCTTTAATTTACAAACATTGCGTGTAAACGATGAGACTACTACATGGCACATGGTAACATGTTTTAACTCATACACTCATCGTGTAACTATGTAGGTTTATGGGCAGAATCGACGAGACATGATGCTGGTTCCTGAACACCGAGCGCTCTAACTATATGAAATACGAAAATTTCACTCGCCTTCTGTTGTTTTGGACTGGATCTTTTCCTGGATATAAATAACAAAATAACAACAAATACTAGAATTTACAAAAATACAACGAAAACGAAGACATACAATACCACGTGACCGTCAAAGTAAATGTGCTTTGATATCCCGAGGGAATTTACAAATAACACGCCGTATGGTTACTCCGTGTTGCTTTGTATTGGGCGGAATTATATTTCAGTTCATCTCACTAAGCGTATACTTATAGCTACAAGCTGACGTGCTGTATGTCGTATCGTCGTGCATCGCGCCAATCGTCTGATATATCGCTGGGGAAAATCCCTGGTCCGGTGGTGCCTGATCCTCGTCGCCTTCTCAACGCACGCGTGCACGAGTATTTGATTGAAAGAAAAAAGTTCGGCGCTCTTAATTCTATTTATACCCTCGCGAAACGCGATAGCATCCTCCTCTGCGCTGCAGCTTCCGAGAGAAGCCACGGCTGGCGTGCCGGCGCCGGGGCTCGCCCGCTCGCGCTCGCACTGACTGGATTGTAGCGCCGGTATTAGGTATTGCCTGCCGACAAGCTAGCCGTGTTTGTTTTCAAACAATCTGTTTGTTCGCTAGCGGCTAGTATTCGCCGGGCGCATGCGTAGCTGCACGTGAAATACATGTCACGACCTTGAATGTGGCGCCGAAACGCATGTTAAAAACTAAAGTGCATCTTGTCTAAAGCAATTCTTCTTCGCTCTTTACTTTCTGATGCTCTCTCATTAATATTCCGTTTGCCCCCACATCGCGTAGGCTTTATGTTATATTATATAAGGCAATCTGTTGCCATTGATCAACTTTATTACTTAGTATTCATACATTAAAAAACATAATTATATCCCAATAAATCGCAATTTATAATTAATTAAAATATGTGAATGTATTTAATATCCAGGCATGTGCGAATAATTATATGTCTGATGGGATTATTCGTATAAAGCTTACAATTAACATAAACTAATGAACATGGATCTGTCACGTGTCACAACGTGCTCATCGTCACATATGACTGGAGCGAACGTCTGAATTAAATTTAGCCTTGATTATTTTTAATAACCTGTTTTCCTCTCGGTGGAATTGCGCGTAGCGATGACGTGAATGGGAGTCAGAGAGAAAGAGAGAAAGAGAGAGAGAGAGAGAGAGAGGAGGGGGAGAGCGAGCAAAAGATAGAGAAAGATAAACAAAGAATCCGAGAGGGATAAACTGAAAGAAAATTATACAGATAGACGGAAAGAGATTAAGAGCAAGCGAGAGAGATAGAGAGCGTTAGAAAGAGCGAAAGAGCGAGAGAGAGAGAGAGAGAGAGAGAGAGAGAGAGAGAGAGAGAGAGAGAGAGAGAGAGAGACCTACCAGTACCAGTAATAGTCTTAATGTTTGATTTGACCTAATAACTTCACTTCAATACCGTCCAATACACCGCTGCAACACACATTCCTATAGCGTGCACACCATTGTGCACAAATACACAGTAGGCCTAATACTAACTTAACTAAGTAATATAGGGTAAAACACAGTTATATAGTAACCCTATATTACTGTGTATTTGTGCACAATGGCGTGCGCGCTATAGGAATGTGTGTTGCAGCGGTGTATTGGACGGTATTGAAATGAAGTTATTAGGTCAAATCAAACATTAAGACTATTACTGGTACTGGTAGGTATAGTACTGACAAGTTGTATTTATGAACCATCATTTTATTATTGAAATGGCCCAAGTGCCCGTGTGAAGGCCTATTTTACTTTACCGTTTTATTAAGCAATCTGATGCTCAAGTCGTCTAAAGGGGGACTTATGTCGGGCTTGCGAGCCGACTCGACTGGAAGCAACTGGCTGCAATTCACTGCGACTGCAGTGCTTAGGTCGGTCGACTGCGACGCGACTGCCTGCGACTGGCCGCCACTAGTTGCTCGGAATAGAACAGTGGGCAACTGGACGCAACTAGTCGCTGCCGATCGCTTCCAGTTGCTCGAAATCCAGTTGCTTCCAATCGAGTCGGCTCGCAAGCCCAACATAAGCCCCCCTTAACGTAACATCCTGACCCCGGTATATAAATCACCATTAACATCACTCACTTTCTAACTCTTACGCGGTAAAGGTGTTACTGGGGACACACATGCCATCATATTATTCGATAGCATAGAGTAACCATTGGTTAAATTAATTGGTTCAATGCAATGCCAATGATTGTTTGCTTGTTTTCCCCCTTCAGTACTACTACTAGATACAATAATGTAACCCAACAAGAGTAGGGTTACAACGCGAACCTATTCTTTTCTTTGGAGGAGCCCCTGAGTGATTCACTCAGGGCGGTTTTATGATGCGTTTTTCGAGACTAGAACTTCCAAACTGGGTTTATTCTAAACACGAATCTTTCTCCACTATCCTGGGACTTGCTATGTATCACAATACTCTGTATTGAACTAATATAACCCAGGGGTCGAAATTAGCGGTATCCCGATATCCGCGGGATAGTAGATTCTTGTGTTGGATACCAGATTTCAATGCTTAGTATCCCGCCAGGATAATAAAAAAAAATCGCCAAAATCGGGTGGTTGTGCATATTTGCACAAGTTGAGTGTTGTGCATATTTGCAAGCGTAAGCATAAAGCCCGGTGCACATGTGGCGATTTTTATCGACAGTACCGGCGATTCTGTTGCCAGCAACAAAATCGCCGAGAAATCGCCACGTGTGCGCTGCACGGCGTCACCGATTTTGACGCCAGAAACTCGTCGCTGGAATATCAAACATGTTTGATATTTGTTGCCGAGTCGCTGAACAATCGCTACGTGTGCGCTGACCAGGCGGCGGATTCAGGCAACAGTTTTTGGATTAACCAATCAAATGCATGATTTGAAGCACGTGATCAAATATTGGCAGCGCCCGTGGTGTGGTTTGGACAGGTCACGTACAGTTCATACAGTGGTATGTCGCTGACAGATGGTTGCATTGTCGCCGGGTGCCGCACACGTGGCGATTTTTATCGCCAGTACTGAATATATATATATATATAAACACGCAGAGAGACAAGGCTACAGATGCGGAGAAAGGGGGCAGGTGGGAGAAGAGCTTCATGGGTCGCCGTAACACATTCGATGGTCGCTATACTCTCTGCAGGGTAGGAGCAGCCGGTCAGTATGGCGCGCCCACGACTCCCACGCATTCGACCGTCTACGGCGACTCGCACCAGCCGATGTACCACACCCAGTCTCAGACGCTGCCGCGAGCTGCCAAGCCGGAGCCTCGCCCTCAGTACCAGTCGCCGTCGTTCTACGCTGAACAGAGGAGAAGGCGGGGCGGCGGCGGGCCCCACCCTCTGAGCCAACTGCACGACGTGCAACGCGAAAGGGCAGCTGAGAGGGCGGCAATCGAGAGACAGGTAAATGACTACCGTTAGCCAGGTATATTATAGATAGACAGATTTGAGGCTACCTTTAGACAGGTATGAGCACACCTCTAGAGAGGTATGTGATAGTATGGTATATGATAGTTTAGGCAGGTACCCACGATATGTATTATCAGGAGGGAATAATAACTATTATCTATCAATATATCTATCAATATATCTATATATATATATCTGATCTATCAATATTATCTATCTATTATTATCAATATATAATCTATTATTATTCACTCCTGGTATTATCATTCCACCTATAAGTGGTGCTAATCACCCGTAAAGAAATATCACCAACAACCCAGCAACTTTCAATGAGCAACTGAACTCTCTCCATATGCGTACTTCACGATGAATTATAGATTCATCCTACGGCTGGACTAGTGTGCAGCTGATGTTGGTAATCTAGTTATCGCTAATAATAACTCCTGAACCAATATAGCATAAGTATCATAATACAGGCCAGCTAGGGTGTATTCGGTATCATTAATTTTTGAGTGAAACTGTTTGGTATAGCTTTGTTGACTCATGGCGCACTATCTTCGACAGTTAATACAAAAATACAACAAAATACGTGAAAATCAACCCATTAACGGAGATAACATTCGCGTGAGCGTTACGAGCGTAGTGGAGGAGCGGCGCTTGTTATGCAACTAGCACGCCTAACCGGAAAGCAAAATCGTGTGAACCACAAGTGCAGTCAGAGCACGTATATCATATTATGATACACGTGCTCTGGTGCAGCTAATGTACGCAGCGCCATTCGATTACACGATCACCTTTTTCCGCCGAGAATCAAATGATCTATTTAGTTATTCAATTCATTAATTTAATAATAATAATAATAATAATTATTATTATTATTATTAACTGTCAACGACAATAATCGTGCTTTGCTGTGACGTTTGCAGCCGTTCCGTAGCAAGCAGCTGATCATGCCGTCGGTGAAGACCACCTGGGATCTACCGACAGGTTCCTACATGAAGCTGTGGAGGAACCCGGAGTCAGAGGTCGTTAACCGTGACATGGGAGCCGGCGTGCAGTACGGTCCGCCGCCTCCCGCCGCGCAGCATCACGCTCCGCCGCCTCCCGCCGCGCAGCATCACGCTCCCACCGCGCCCCGCCACGCCGTCAGGTCGGCGCCCGCCCGCCAGGAGGCGCAGCGTCGCGACGAGCCGTTCTCGCCGACGCACGACGATAAGAGAATGGCGGAGAGCTTGCGACGCTCGCTGACCGACGCGTCGTCGTCCGCCCCGCATTACCGTCCGTCCGGCTCTCAGAGCAGTTCGACGGTTGCCGGGCGCTTCTACGTCCCGAGCGACGACTCCGGAGCCCGGTGGTCGGCGCAGGGGCAGCAGCCCTCACCGATGAACGTCTACTCAACCGTTACGAAGAGCCACAGCCACGGACCGGGAAGCCATGGGTAGGTGCAGCTCCGCATGTACAATACTTACATTCCTCCACGGAGTGATGAGTGTACCGGAAATCGTAGGCCTACTCTGATACCCGGTTCTTACGTTACAGACAAGCCAATAATAATAATAATAATAATAATAATAATAATAATAATAGACAAGAGTATACCGATATATGGTTTTAAGCGTTGAAAAACCTATTCGTAAATGCTTCGTAAATAAATGAAACTATTTATTGCCTGATAAGCGGAACGTCTAGGAATCGGGATAGAAATGTAATAAAAATATGCCACAGTGTTCCATCACGTTGAAATTGCCGAGCTGAGTTACCGTTTCGCTTCTATATTAATTACATAACCTGATGTGATGACGTCATCATCATCAATCGTCGATTAAATTAATTCGGTCAGTTTTACTGGAATGTAACGCTTTAAACTGAATGATGATGACAGTAACATTATATGTATGCCGCCCGCATGACGTGTAACGAGTAGCTACTATATCTTATCAATGAATTAACCGCACATACAGGCTTACAGTTATTGAGATATCCAGTAAGGGCGGAGCTAAAATGTCACTGCAGTCAACCGGCAGCAGCACGCACAACTAACCATGGACTTTGTCGTCGAAATTGAAACGACTCAGGTGTTTCGAAGATCCATAATACTAGTAATGAATCATTCGTTTTTATTCACACCTAGAAATATCGCAGCGTATTTACTCGCATTCACTCTTATCGAAAAACTCACAACTACAAGAATTACCTGTTATCCGAAAACGTAGGATCTGCAGTAACTATAAGGATTATCTTCGATTACTATAAGAATTTGACGTTATTTCTAATTGATTAGCTTTTAGATATTGATTTTTTTAATCTTCGAACAGACTGAAACCAGCTGCTCCTGCTCTGATCACTAATTTGACTGTTATCAAAATACCTTTCCCAAATTAAAATATTCTATATATCAATCTAACAGAAATCGGAAATCAATAATAACGTGTTCAATATCGGCAATAATCTTCTATTAATTTATCCAAGCGCTAATCATACATAGCACATATGTATTATTAGCTCTTGATTGATCTAATACATTCCTGCTTTTCATAGCCGCATTCAGATGTTTATCTGTGTTTTCCTGTAAATTTTTTTGCGACAGGTATTCGTCGAAAACCAGCACTGACGGCTATTCATATTCCTCCTCGTACAACAGGTGAAGTAGTGCTTAAGTCCTAAGCCCTGCCAAATTGATTTAAAAGCGGTAGTGCATTGCAAGACTAGTTAGCTCCTATACGTGTCAGGCTCTACCTTTTAGCAGCACAATTTGCATAATCAATATAAACACTTTATGCACAGTCTCTTTCCCTTCCCCACTCCCTATATGTATATATATATATATATATATATATAGTTGCTAGTGAATAGGAATGCGTTTGTGTCAGTCTAGATTAATGTCCGATTCATTCACGTTTAGACTTACACGTGTATACCCTGAACAAACAGTAACGAACCGTGTGAGTGATTGCTACTCATTATGTCGACGATCTGAGCCCTCCTAGTTATGCTCGTTGACGCATCTGTTGTAGGAGTAAACTTACCTTTCACCACATAGCCGATATTGCATCGCGTTTGTCTTCAGACTGATCGATTTCTGTTGATCGTATTTTCCGTGAATGATTTTGTCGTTGTGGAATCTTCGCGCTATATTTAGGGTTACAAACGCGTGAAGGCACATTTATCTTACACACGCACACGCACACGCACACGCACACGCACACGCACACGCACACGCACACGCACACGACACACGCACACGCACACACACACACACACACACGCGCGCGCCACATACACACACACACACACACACACAACACATACACTCACACACACACACACACACACACACACACACACACACGCACACGACACGCACACGCACACGCACACGCACACGCACGCGCAACGCACACGCACACGCACACACACACACACGGCCGTCGCGGCCTCACCACACACACACACACACACACACACACACACACACACACACACACACACACACACACACACACACACACACACATACACACACACTTAAATTTTCCAATTAATACTACCTTTCTCTGACAACAAATACAGTGTAAATTATTAATTAGATTGAGTAGTATAGGGATATATTTGACGGACACGCGTCTCGAAATCAAAACGACATCACATGTTCTATTTGTTTTTGACCGCATGATTCACGCTTTACGCTTCTAGTTCATCGCATGTTTAACAATTTAATAATCATTAATTTTATTATATTTGATGATGTTTAATAGTTAAATAAGCTCTGGCGATCCGTGAATTGGTCGATGTGGGCCAGTAGTGTATCAGTCGGAATGGGAATGCAGAGTAATGTTTTGCCAGAGACGAAACAGTATCGACGAAAAACAGATGAAATACTTTTGCTGGTATGCATGACATGTCTGCATGCGTGTCACAATTTAAATTTAAACACCAACAACATCGAAATGCCAATTTTATGAATAAGTTCCTTCTGGCTTTTACGCTCGATTAATTATAACCCCTTTCCGTATACTAACAACATACGCGTACTCGTTCTCGCCCGACGTTACACGCCATTCTCCCAAATTGTTACATACTATTCACCCCCAATGTTACACATTATTCTTCCCCAAGTTACATGCCAGTTTCTCCCATTAGTAAACACTATTCCCACACGTTGTAACACTTTCCCCTTTACTGTTTCATACTGTTACCCCTCCGTTACACACTATTCTCCCCCCATGTTACACACAACTCTCCTTCGATATTTCGCACTATTCTCCCCCAATGTTACACGATATTCTCTCCCAGCGTTGCACACTATTATTCCTTATTGTTACATATTATTCTTCATCCACTGTTAAACACTATTCTCCTGCACTGTTACACACTCTCCTCGCGTTGCATCCTTCTTTATCACGATTTTTCTTTAATCGCAGCTCCAACTACATGGCGAGCAACCGGGGTGGAACCAGCTACCAGTTGGCGCCTAACGAGGCCATGGCTTCAGGGGCGTTGATGGTTCAGGAGAGCGAACCCTACGTGACAAAACCGGTCAACGAACTCCGCTCCATGTATAGCCAATACTGAGTTACGTCATGCGAATTCGGAGTGACGTCATCGCCGGCGGTCCCACCATCGTTTCCGGCAGCGCGTGTTAATCGACGCTCGTTTGCTTTCGCGGAAGGTTTTCGGCGTATTTCTGACAATTAATCGATTTCATTAAAAAATAATCACCTGGCGCGTATACGTGCTAAAAGTTGATTCGCGATATTTAACATAACAACGGCTGGATTTCATCTCTAAATCGGCTTCGGGAGTGTTAGCAGCCAGTATAGCTTAGTTCCTGACGTGGTGCATTAGCCACCATAATGAGCTGATTACTACGTTGCAGGTTTGCCTAGTGCATTGGTTCTTAACGTTTTTTTTCTGGTTCCTTCCAAATTATGGCCGAGTGGCTATCTTGATAGGTGACCTGACATCGCAGTGAGTCTTGGACTCTAAACAAACGATCCAACACTCGCTGGAAGTCTGCTTGAGATGGCTTCCAACGGACTTATATTAGATTGCGACACAAGAGTTAAGAATTACGGAACTAGAACGTTCGTCTGGTGATATGTCTCATGGCAGTAATATATCGACTACCAATGTTGGAATCGTGCGTCCTACGTTATCTAGTTTCGGGAAAATGCAAACCTTTACCAGAATTTTTGATAAAATTCAAAGTAAATAAAAAATGGCATATTTAAATTTAATTGAAATAACCGAACAAAGTTATTTCAAATTCAGCTATTTGTAAAGCAATCACTATATATAGGGCCTATATTGGTTGAAATCTCTCGAATTTCTACATTAATTGAGAAAGGTAGTGACATAGAGAAAGTACTCATTTGAAGACAATATGGCTAATTATGAGAAAATAACTGCTCAATTTCTAAAAGTTATATTATTAGACGTTTAATATATACACTCGATTATTTACTATTTATAACAGGTATAATAAATCTCAACTTTGTTACGTAGTGGTTAGAATATTTTGAAATTTCATCAGTGTGTGCTGACCATGAAATTGACTAGTGCTGCTTAGCCAGGATGTCTCTCCAACATAGCATTATTTCAATTATTTAGTTGACATGGTTGTAGAAACGTATAAATAGGTTGTATCGAATGTAGAATAAATTATGTATCTAATAATCCGCAAACGCAAATGGAGATGGACATTCATTTCATAGACTTAGGCATCTTATACTTTTGTTGGCATTGCTTATCTGTTAAAACATTTTGTAAACGGAATCTCTGTAAACGCTAGTTGGTGTACACGTTTTTAACCGGGAAAAAAAGGTTTATTGAACGGATAAAAATGCACTGCTGGGGCAGCGTACCATTACGCGGGCTCTGTTACCGAATGATTTTTCATTAAAATAAAAAACGAAACAGCATAAGTTTCCTTTGTGTGATATTTATACGTGCACACGCAGCTCACACGTACGCGCACACGCGCACCACCCACACATCTATGAGACTGGAAGAAACGTAAATGTACAACAAGAAATAAAAATAAGCATGAACAGGATCGTCAAAATTCCACGTGGAGTAAAAAAACTTATGGCAAAATTGTAGGAATCATTCAAGAAGGCCTAAGGTCGTAATAGAGTACCTAATTCTGCACATGTGTGACTTTTATATCGATAGTATGCGTCAAAATTGGTCAGGCAACCTCAGGTCCCGCCCTAGTTGATCTACCAGGGCCGTTACAAGCTGTTGGGGCGCAAAGCCACATGCAGTTACGCCAGTTCCATCTGTTTCCATATCTATCTATCTATCTATCTATCTATCTATCTATCTATCTATCTATCTATCTATCTATCTATCTATCTATCTATCTATCTATCTATCTATCTATCTATCTATCTATCTATCTATCCATCTATCTATCTATCTATCTATCTATCTATCTATCTATTTATCTATCTATCTATCTATCTATCTATCTATCTATCTATCTATACTATCTATCTATCTAATCTATCATATCTATCTGTATCTCAGTCTGTTATCTACTACTATATCATTTATTAGATCTATTCTATCGATCTATCTATCTCTAGTCTATCTATATATCTATCTATCTATCGTATCCTATCTATCTACTTCTATCTTATCTATCTAATTAACTGCTCTCTATCATATTATCTATCTATCTATCTACTTCTATCTATCTATCTATCTTACTATCTATCTATCTATCTCGTATCTATCTATCATCATCTACTATCTATCTATCTATCTATCTATCTATACCATCTATCTTATCTATCTATCATTTCTTTATCTGCTATCTATATCTAATCTATCTATCTATCTATCTATCTATCTTATTATTCATCTATCTAATCATCGACCTATCTACCTATCTATCTAGATATCTAGCTATCTATATATTTATTAATCCATCTATCCATATATATATATATATATATACATGTATATATATATATATTATATAATATAAGTAGTATAATATTATATACATGTATTCTGATGTATATTAATCGCGGCACAAACGAATATTGCATTCTTGCGCCATCTATCGAAGAAATAAATCTCTACTGTTTGCTTTGCGTTGTGAGCGCATTTTAGTGATTTAGAATGCGATTTAATTAGCAACTAATAAGTAAAATGGAGGCATTGAAATTCCTAATTCTTCTAGTTTATTGTGGCGAACTGTAACAAATCGAATCTGGTTCGGTGTGGCTCGTACGGCATCGACAGCTTGGACGCCGGCAATAATTTGTGCTCCGACGAAATCGTGTAAACTCGTGTAAACTCGGAGAATCCGCTACTGGGCACCGAGTACTCCTAATGTTTTGTATTAGCTTCCGGAATTGAAATTTGCGGATGCAGGTGATATGAGGCTAATTCTAAATACTTTTAGTTAGACTTATCCCTACTGTTTGTGTAGGCTTTTCCGTATGTAACCATCAAATGTAAATACACACCGAGTAGGTGTATGTGTAGGTATGTGAAATTCAGCGTTAGAACTCGTAATATTAGACACTGTGGCACCGACGTATGCGCCTGCAGAGTGAGAGTGAGAGGGGCCTATGTCCCCCGGGGTACTGCCGGAACTAGCTCTAGTAGTAGTACTATAGCCCGCGGATCGCTGCCGCAGGGCTATAGCACATTCTGCCATAGATGTAATCTAAGCAAATGGTCCAACTGAATTGACCAAAAATTTATCCCCAAAACGTCTAAAATGATCGGGCTTTTAACACTTATCTATCAACATGGACATCTCACCATATCTGTCATTGAACACTTCACACAACTTTTACACAGGTATTTATGCGGGTTATTCTCAAAGTCTGTAGCACTACTGGTGTTTTGTCTTTTCAAAATGAGGTTGCTCTGCTCTAGTCGTTGCCACGCGTGGACTACTTCAGTGCTAAGACTTTGCAGAATAACAGCATAAATACCTGGTGTTAAAGTTGTGGAAGTGTTCAAAAAGATAGGCTGCAGATGTCCATGTTGATAGTAAAGATTTAAAAGCCGGATTCATTTTACGTTTTGGGGATAAGATTTGGTCACATCAGTTGGACCATTTGCTTAGATTACATCTATGGCAGAAGTGCTGCTATAGCCCTGCGGCAGCCATCCGCGGGCTATAGTACTAGAGCTATGCCGCGACGTTACCCTGGAGTACGCGTCCGCCGTTATACGGAACGTTACCCCGGTACTATCTAAATATGCCTGGACCGCTACCTCGCCCTACTTCACTAACGAGTCTAGGGAGTCGCCTACGCCTACTCCCTAACTCTACTCTAACCCTAACCCTAAAACCCTTAAAATCCCTAACCTAACCATATCAAATAGTGACCAGGGTACGTTCCGGCAGTACCCTGGGGGACATAGACCCTATGAGCCCGACTATGGGCTAGGGTGTGAGGCCCCCACAAGCACAAGTTGCGGCCGTTTCAATCACAGGCCACTTGGACGCGTTTCAATAATAAAATGATGGTTAATAAATACAACTTGTCAGTACTAAGACCTACCAGTACCAGTAATAGTCTTAATGTTTGATTTGACCTAATAACTTCACTTCAACACCGTCCAATACACCGCTGCAACACATAGCACCGCACGCCATTGTAGCATGCACAAATACAACAGTGATAATAGAGAAGGTAAGAAAGCGTCCGCACAGAAATTCCAGAACGCTCGAATCTTTTCACAACACGAGAGACGAAATACACGTCCAACGGCCATATCTTGGATCTGTGTGTAGCTGAATGGTCACTTGTTTCGAAACTATATGTCTTGCACCTGTTACCACATACTTTACCAGAATTATCATGAGACAATCCTGCTCTAAATTTGCCGCCCGAATTTCCCATTGAAGCCGATTTCGTAAATGGGATAAGTACATGAGCAAGGGCGCGCGCGCATTGCATTCTGGGCAGCAGCAAGATGTATATTCGAACAACGTGACCATTCAGCCCTACACACAGATGCCAAGATCATGGTCGTTGCGACGTGTATTTCGTCTCTAGTGTTGTGAAAAGATGTCGAGCGTTCTGGAATTTCTGTGCGGACGCTTTTCTTACCTTCTCTATATCACTGTGTATTTGTGCATGCCACAATGGCCGTGCACGCTATGTGTTGCAGCCGGTGTATTGGACGGTGTTTGCAAGTGAAGTTATTAGCGTCAAATCAAACATTAAGACTATTAGTATTACTGAGTACTGGTAGTCTAGTACTGACACAGTTGTATTTATTAACCATCATTTTATTAATGAAATGGTCCAAGTGCCTGTGGTTTCAATAATAAAATGATGGTTAATAAATACAACTTGTCAGTAGGCCTACTAGACCTACCAGTACCAGTAATAGTCTTAATGTTTGATTTGACCTAATAACTTCACTTCAATACCGTCCAATACACCGCTGCAACACACATTCCTATAGCGCTGCACACCATTGTGCCCACAAATACACAGTAGGCCCTAATACTAACTTAACTAAGTAAGTATAGGCGTAAAACACAGTTATATAGTAACCCTATATTACTGTGTATTTGTGCCACCAATGGCGTGCGCGCGTATAGGAAATGTGTGTTGCAGCGGTGTATTGCGACGGCGTATTGAAATGAAGTTATTAGTCAAATTCAAAACATTAAGACTATTACTGGTACTGCGTAGGTATAGTACTGACAAGTTGTATTTATGAACATCATTTTATTATTTGAAATGGCCCAAGTGCCCGTGTGAAGCCTATTTTACTTTACCGTTTTATTAAGCAATCTGATGCTCAAGATCGTCTAAAGGGGCGACTTATGTCGGGCTTGCGAGCCGACTCGACTGAAGCAACTGCGCTGCAATTCACTGCGACTGCCAGTGCTTAGTCGCGCGTCGACTGCGACGCGACTGCCTCGACTGGCCGCCACTAGTTGCTCGGATAGAACAGTGGGCAACTGGACGCAACTAGTCGCTGCGATCCTTCCAGTTGCTCGAAATCCAGTTGCTTCCAATCGAGTCGGCTCGCAAGCCCCAACATAAGCCCCCCTTAACGTAACATCTGACCCCGCGTATATAAAATCACCATTAACATCACTCACTTCTCTAAACTCTTACGCGGTAGCAAGGTGCTTACTGGGCGACACACATGCCACTCACTCATATTATTTTTGATAGCATAGCAGTAACATTGCTGTTAAATTACTTGGTTCAATGCAATGCCAATGATTAGTTTGCTTGTGTTTCCCCCTTCAGTACTACTAAACTAGCATACAATAATGTTAACCCAACAAGAGTAGCGGCTTACAACGCCCGAACCTATTCTTTTCTTTGGAGGAGCCCTGAGTGATTCACTTCAGGCCGCGGTTTTATGATGCCGTTTTTTCCGAGACTAGAACTTCCAAACTGGCCGGGTTTATTCTAAACACAATCTTTCTCCACTATCCTGGACTTGCCTATGTATCACAATTTACTCTGTATTTGACAACTAATATAACCCAGGGTCGAATATTAGCGGTTATCCCGATTATCCGCGGATAGTAGCATCTCTGTGTGTTTGGATACCAGATTCAATGCTTAGTATCCCGCCACGGATAATAAAAAAAATCTGCCAACAATCGGGTGGTTGTGCATATTTTTGCTAAGCGTTAAAGCCATAAAGCCCGGCTGCACATGTGGGCCGATTTTTATCGACGTAGTTACCGCCGATTCCTGTTGCCAGCAACAAATCGCCGTTGAGCAAACTCGCCCACACTGTGTCGGCCGGCTGCACCGGCGCGTCACGATTTTGACGCCAGAAACTCAGTCGCTGCGAATATTCAAACATTGTTTGATATTTGTTGCCGAGTCGCTGAAACAATCGCTACGTGTGCGCTGACCAGGCGGCGGATTCAGGCAACAGCTTTTTGGATTAACCAATCAAATGCATGATTTGAAGCACTGTATCAAATATTCGCAGCCCCGTTGGGTGTGGTTTGGACACGGTCACGTACAGTTCATACAGCTGGTATGTCGCTGACAGATGGTTGCATTGTCGCCGCGGTGCCGCACACGTGGCGCATTTTTATCGCCAGTACTGTCGATAAAAATCGCCAGTACTGTCGATAAAAAATCGCCACGTGTGCGCCCGGCTTTAGCGTAGCCGATGTTGATCATAAATGTGATGTGTATACATTGTATCAAGGCGAACCAGACAATGCGTCTAGACAATACGTCTGCAGTTACTTGTCTGTGCATATCTCGTGAATCTGTTTTTCATGTTTTATATAATAATTACATTACATAATAGGTGCGTTCACACTGGCGCGAATTAGCGGGCTGCAAATCCCGGTTTTTGCAGCCCGCTCGAAAAACCGAGCTTTTTACAAGTGTGAACGCAATTAGCTCACTAAATCGCGCTCAAAATAGCATGCTGCAAAGAACACTTCCGACTGCGCTAATTTGGAATAAGCGCGCTTATTTGCACCGCGGCGTGTTATCCCGCTCGGCGATTAGCGAGATATTTCGGATTTCCGCCTGTGTGAACAACGACACAATTAGCTCACTATTATCTCCGCTATTAGCGGGATGAGCAGCGCGGTTTTTCTTGTGTGTGAACACGCCTATTAATAATTTTCAAATGCTATTATTGCATATTTCAAGATTTTGGATACCAACATTGTTGAAATTACTATCCAAAAAATGGGATACCAGATCTTTGGGGGGGATACCAGATTTCAATACCTGGTATCCCGAATGGATACAATAATAAAAATCAAATTTCGACCCCTGTAACCCAGTGAAAAAATTAATTTTTTTCTTTCCGGGGCTCTTTTTGCAAACCCCCCCAAAATTTCGGGGGCTACTTTTTCCACTTTCCAGGGTGACTTTTTTCCAGGGCTGTTTCCTCAAATGTACACACAAGCACAGTAGCTAATACACACTCGCGGGCGCGCGCACACACCACACACACGTCACACGCACGCACGACGCACGCACACACGCACACGCACACGCACACACACACACACACACAGACACACACACACAGACACACACACAGACACACACACAGACACACACAGACACACACACACCCACCAATTTAGCAAGCTTGTACAGACAAAACAAAGAACATTCAGTCAATATTCAAGACAGTTATTCATCAGACTGACAGACTAACATGATAACCACAACTCACAAGTCACAACCACAAATGCACCTTGAATAGTGAATACACAGGTTCAGCTAAACACAGAACTATTACGGCTAGCGCAAATAGTGGAGTGTCTGCCTGTACGAGCGAGGAGGATCGATTGTTTATACGCGAAGTCTCTTGCGGCTGGGGTCCAGGGCCCGCGTAAGGGTCCTGGAAGCTCAGGGGGTTTGAGAAAGCGGCCCGCGAGGCACGTGTGTATGGCTGGCAGGGGCGGCATTGATTGAAGTACGGGGGGGGGGGGGGCACGATTGTTTCAGCGTGGTACTAATCACTACTAAAATGTAGAGGGTTGGCATTGCTGGACTATGAGAGAGCGACAGCAAAACTTATTCGGGGAATTGACAAAAAAAGCTACAATCGGGAATGACACACGAGTGTGCCGGCAGGGAAAAATATACGTGTGAATTTCATTAGGATTTTCCATGGATTACCGTTCTATAATTCTACGGGTCGTTGGTCCTACGGGTCTACGTACGGTAGGCACGCCCGCAGGCACACCCGCACGCACGCATGCAGGCACGCACGCGCGCAGGCACACGCGCAGGCACGCACGCACGCGCACACATGCATGCGCGCAGGCACACACGCAAGCACACCGGCACACACAGGCACGCGCGCAGGCACACGCAAGCACGCCCGCAGGCACACCGGCACACACAGGCACGCCCGCACACACGCACGCACGCACGCGCGCAGGCACACACGCAAGCACGCGCACAGCCACACACGTATATACGCGTGGGCGGCGGCGCGCGCTTGATTGAATGAAATACAGTACAGTACACACAAACACTTGACAGTCACACCGTACCATGAATTCTACCGCGCCGTGGAACCGGCTGCCGCTAGCGGCAGAGGCCGAGCGAGAGCGACAAGGCGCGGGACCGACCTGGACAATCGATTTCCAGGGCGACTTTTGCTTTTGGGGTCGCCCCCGATATCATGTATTTGGGGGCTCTTTTTGGCATTTCGGGGGCGAAATCGCCCGCCGCCCCCGTGTATTTTTTCCCCTGCTGTAACCTGTTACAAAATTTCGAAGTGACGAGCAGCGATATTTCGAGCGCCATTTCTGTTGACCTGTGAAGTACGCATTCCCAATGCGCATAGCGTTCGGCTACCTTTGGCTCCTGTGTTGCCTGACATGCTGGCTCTGGTGACGTCATGACTGACAGCAGGCATCCCATGATGCATTCGATCTTGGAGCCGAAGTTAGCCGACGCGAATTGGGAATACGTACGTCACAGGTCAACAGAAATGGCGCTCGAAATATCGCCGCTCGTTACTTCGAAATTTTGTAACAGGTTATATTAGTTTAATACACAGTATTGTGATACATAGTAAGTCCCAGGATAGCGGAGAAAGATTCGTGTTTAGAATAAACCCAGTTTGGAAGTTCTAGTCTCAAAAAACGCACCATAAAACCGCCCTGAGTGAATCACTCAGGGGCTCCTTCAAAAAAAAGAATAGGCTCGCGTTGTAAACCTACTCTTGTTGGGTTACATTATTGTATCTATACTACTACTAGCTACACCTAACATAGCCCCATGAGTTACCTTCTCGCTTCTCACTAGGTGGCAAGAAGTTCCTACGACGTGAAACGTGAAACAACCGTAGAGCCTGGTCGGGCTACACCTAACCAAACCCTAATTTCCTAATTTTATCTAAAGACCATAATTACAATAGGGGTTCCTAAAGTAGGCTTGAACCTAATCAGATACTTGCCAAGTGTGTTGCGATTGACAATATACTTTACACGTGTAACAAATCGTCAAGTGTCAAGGTTGATTTCATAATAAATACTCGTTTCTTTCCAGAACCACAGCCTTTGAAGCAACACGAGCAACTATTTCAGACTGAGATGGCTAGGACTGACGTATTTATTTGTTTCACCTGCTGTGTTGGAGAGCAGCCACGAGTGCCTCGGGTACTGTGCATTAAATTGTTGATATATTTGTTGATATAATTTGTTTTAGTATTAGTATTAACATTAGCTTTGTCTCGTAGACCATTGACAGAAATATCGTAAAGTTATGAGAATAAGAAATCCTTGCAAATTTCTCTTAACATTATGAGATCCTATAATCTTTCATAACTTTCAGGCTAATGAAAAGAATGCAATTAGACAACAAAATTGCAATTGTAATGATATATTATTTTACACTGTCAGAAATTCTACTTGGCTCCTAATTGTGTACGAAAACAAGCATTTACAAATGCCGATTGTTCTCTCGTTTTTGATACTTTGTCGAGTCATGACGCCCACATCTTATGTTACCGCATAGCATGGTGTCTTGCAGCGCAGAATGAAAAACATGATTATTCCATTTTTCATCAATTATTATATATATATATATATATATATATATATATACGTGATTAACTATCATAATATGCATATAATTATATTCCTCTCATATACAATAAATCTAATTATATGAATTTGAGTTTTGTGGTCAGTTCTCATCCAATCAGCAACCTTGTGACAACAAATTACCTAAGTTCCTGTTATTGTAAGTTTTCTCATAGCTGCGATGCGTTTATGTCAACACTATTCTCGTAACATTAACATTGGTTGCGTTATCTTGGCATTAATATTAGCCTTAAGTTTACAATGTTTTTAATAACTAGCCCCTAGAAAACAAGTAGTTTGGTATAATTAATTCTTTTTCGTATATTTCAATGTGTGATAATATATTTTGTTTGTACATGCAAACATTTATTTCATCTAGAAAGTTTCTAATTAATATTATCATTATAATATTTCACATTATCTTCTAGAAATTCAAAGAGTTGTGAAGCAGCAGTGTTGCTCTATTGCACTTAAAACGGTGTGTGTGTGTGCGTGCGTGTGTGCATGCACCCCTGCGTGGATGTGTATGTGTGCATGCATGTGTGCCAACATGTGCACGCACATGGGAGAGAGCCTATTGCTATATCATTACATAGTTAGCTCTGCCAAACACGGCATGGCCACCATGTGTGTGTACATAGTAGATATTCTTGGCAGTGACAGATTTTATTGCCAACTTGGTCATAATGTACAAGTTGGCATGTAGTGTGTTTCTGATTTATTCGGATGTGGAGAAATGTACAGAAACACAAGGTTGTTGCAAATAAGTTTTTGGGGAGTAGAAACCTCTTCATGTAAATAACTTGAATTTTTTAATCTGGGCAATAATGTCAGGCTATTGTATTAGCCAACTTATATAATTTTAATGCTATATTATATAACGATATTATTGAAGCTATAGTATTTTGTCCAACTTATTTCTAAACACACCTGCCATGTCAGAGAGAAAGAGATGGAGATAAAAATGGTAATCAGTGTGCGTAAGTTAAACATGTTCTTCAATGTTTACAGAGGAAAATAGACAGAAGTCAGATAGGTCAGCCGATGAACTTTCAGCATGTTGGACATGTTGGATCGTCTGATGTGTCACAACCAACCTCTCAGGTAAGGGTGTAGCAGTCGCCTGAGGGCATTTAATAATCTATATATAAATGGGTTATTCTATAATCAAATATAGATTTAGAGCTGCTGTGAATTGGGAGCTATATACGGGGGGTTCGTACGGGTCTTGGAAGGCATGGAAAGTTCTAGGATTCTAAAATGTCATTTTCCAGTTGTGGAAAGCTTTTGAAAAGAGGCTGTGGTCCTAGAACGTCCTGGAATTGGATTGTTATTGTTTCTAGTACTAGAAAGTCTTTGAAATTAAATACATGTCTAGATCTTGTATTCTCATGAGGTCCAGGAAGCTTAGTGTTGGTTTAAATTCTTTTGGTATTTTTAATGTAATAACATCAGTCATTCAGAGCACTGCAATAAATCAGTCAATGAGAAAACTGCAGTGATGATGGTTCATTCTGGGCAGCTATTCCCTGCAGCAGACGTGCACTATACGTTTGTGGAATATGTTATGCATGCATGATATGGGATACAGGATGAGAGATTATACATGATCCATGGCTGCCTAACTAGTGTGTATTCGCCACCGAACTCAGTTTGAATTAAACATTGGCCAAATCAACTCTGAGTGTTCTCGTGAGGTCTGGGAAGGTCAATGCTGGTTTCAATTATCATTTGCATATCTATGCCTATCACATAAATCTACATCAACCGTGAAGCTTGTGATACCACATCCAGGATGGTGAGATTCACACGATACATGGGTATAAACAAAAATACATCGACTGTATTTTTGGTAATATAAATTTGTTTGGATACTGGTTAAATCTTGGATGACAGCCAACAACCCGGTATGACGATTTTTTCTCCCCCGTGGAAGAGATTGTTGCCTTTATAAATGTACATTATACACGTATTTTTACACGGGAAATTTATTCTGTTGTAGTTCTCGTCTGTTCAGTATCAAATGCAGACGAAAGGAGGTTATCAGTTTGCAGTTCCTGTAAACATACAAATGAAAGTCAGGGATGTACAGACGCAAAGGTAAATATAGTAGCATGTTTCTGTAGTGATGCTGATTTCTGATGCATCCACTGTGTTATTGTTTACTTATTAACTGCTAAAAAGTAGTTTTCACTATGCATAGTCATAGCTTTGCTTTTTGTTATCTGTATTCATGAATCATATATGATGATAACTTATATATATATATATTTATATAGATAGATAGATAGATAGATAGATAAATATATAGATATAGATAGATAGATAGATAGATAAATATATAGATATAGATAGATAGATAGATAGATAGATAGACAGATAGATAGCTAGATAGCTAGCTAGATAGATAGCTAGCTAGCTAGATAGATAGATAGCTAGATAGATAGATAGATAGATAGATAGATAGATAGGTATTGATATATATAGAAGTAAAAACACAAACACCCATGTAGATATGAAAATAAATGTGTAATATATAATATATAATGTAAAAATGTATAATGTATAATACTATATATATATAGCATGTTTCATTATGTTTTTATTCTAATATTATATTTTTATTGATATAGTTGTGTAAATTAGGAATATAGAAATACCGTGCTTTATATTTTAAGACAGTACATCTATTCGTCAGCTTGCGACGTCATACTAATCATACTAATCATAGACGAATCATATGTTTCACAATCCTCACACATACATATCGTAGTAAGGTATTTCTGGTGATGTTCTGTAGGTAATTGCATCATGAAGCCTACATTGCGTTGGACAAGGTGGATAGTTTACAGATGATGCTCCTTACATTGTGGCTTGATCACCATCAACCCCCGATTACAAAGTGATGTATGCTCTCCTAGAGAAATGTATAGTCAGCATTGACACGTCATGCATGTGTCTGCTGTCCTTGCTAAGCCATGGTCCATAGTCCTGTGTTGATGTCACTTGTTTCTGTGGTGCTTCGTATGTGGACCAATGGAAAAAGAAGAAAAGTCAGATGTGAACAGGTGCTTTACGTGTTATTTTTGCGGTGCATGCAGGGATGTCCAATCACGTGCGTAAACTGTTGATTGCTGCAATTAGTTCCTCGTCTTCATGAATTTTGGCAAGAATTCCTCTCTCTCTCTCTCTGTATAGTCGACTCGTGAGTGGCGTATATTGCAGAGAGCTGGCGTCTCTGCAATGTGAATGTATAATCTACAGCTTCCTCCATGCTCCACTCTCGTGGAAGGTGGTGCAACTTGCGATCTTGATACTTACAGAGTTATCTTTTGATTCCTGGTATTTTGCTGATTGAGAGGTTGCCTGCAAGCTATTCTTCATAGATATCTGCTCACCAGACCGGCCCTCAGAGCTGTATTACCCTGCTGGTGCTTGTGTGCTTGTAGAATTGAAGTCGAGTGAGGAATTATCTCTTATTAATGGGGTTATTTATTGAAATTTTCTGATAAATATTCGTTTATACTTTGGATTTAGCAAGGCATGTGAAGTGATTTATTCTTGCTATTGGTCTATTACATGAACAGGTAACTATAGCATATCTTTGGGACTACTATTCAATTGAGGAATTTGTAAACTGAATAAGCAGACACTTTTAAAAAGCAAGACGGAGCATTTGCAGAACTTCAGCTTATATGGAATATGGTCATTAACTTGTAATACGGTGATCTATATTTTGTTAATGAGAAGCCGATTTTTAGGTTTCATCTCCCATACTGACACCTTGTTCGAATAATTGTGCTGGGTTGATGTGGCGATTACACGTGAACGTAGCTAAGCAATGGTGATGTGTACAGTTTATCCATTTGCTGCTGTTTTTTGTTAACTAGGAACGGTGACGCGGCTACAATCCACGGTGGCGACCAAAACCACCTGGAAACCAATTATAATTATGTAAATTGGTTGTCTTATGACTATTAGGTTTTATACCTAAAGCTGCATTCATAAATGCATCACACTAAAAAAAACTGCCACTAACTGACTGCCTTACGCTTTGTGTGTTCAATTACAAGTTTTCGCTTTGTATTTTGGTACCTTGAGCAAAATTATGCAAATTTTTTATAACTTGGTGGTTTTCTTGAGGTTGGTTTTATTATGAATGCAGGTTTAAGTAGGTCCGTTTTATTTGTATTATTTATTAATTGTGGTTTTGATGTTGAGCGTACAAGAAACGAGAGTGTGGTGAGTGACTGTGCTGAGAATGGGAGGATTTTGTGATTGCATTAATGGTGCCGCTGCATTTAGATCAAGCCGTGACATATAGTATTTCAGTACTTGACGCGTGTGAGCTGCTAGCATCGCATGGTCTACTATCGACAAAAGCCCAGAATGCTCGTTCAGAAACCTAAATTTGAAAATAGAAATTTTGATTATAACTAATGAAAAAAATAAATCTGTGTTCAAATTAATTAGTTCTTTGAAGATTGAAAAGGAACACATAGTCTGATTGGTCACAGAAGCACTTTAGATTTAGATTCTTAAGTTTTGGATGAGCCTTATGGACTTTTGTAATCATCAGGTCACGCTGACGTGTGCACAAAGAACCTACGTCATTATCGTTATTCAACAGTCCTATACGAAGGAGGATACTCGCAGAAAGCGCCCGTCCCACTTATTTATTATTATTATTATTATTGAGTTCTTATTTGCAATTGCGTGTAGGGGAGTGTGGGTGGGGTAGGGAGAGTGGGTAGGGTATGGACAAGGAGGAGGGGTAGAAGTGAAGACGAGACAATGAATGGAAAGGAAGGGGGGGGGGACAGAGAGAAGTAACAGTTGAGAGAGTACGAGTCATAGACATCTTGTTATATTTTCCTAACGCTATAGTTCCGATAAACAGAAGTAACAGAGGATTATTTACACAAAATATGCTTCATATAATATTAAAAACGCATCACAATTCATAATCATGGACATGGTTAATAGGTTCACACACAGGTTCCGTTTTCCACGCGCGCAATCTCTCACACAAAGAGAGCAGCACGAAAGTTGACGTCATAATATCGTGGTGTTACCCACAGACTACCGGATACATCCGTTCGTATCCGTCAGTCTGTGGTGTTACGAATCAGCAACGAACATGTCGAACATACTCACTCTTTGTGAAACAACCAGACAAAATTTAGAAGCGCGCCTACACTCCGCACGGGAAACAAATTGTGTGCATAGCTGTATGACTGTAATCACTACTTTGTAAGTAATCAATATTATACGAGAAATCAACGCGACAAAATACTTAATTTGACGAATGACGAAACACCACAATGGGGAAGATATTTAGACGTTTGGCGGAACTCAGAAAATTACAGAAATCACACCACCGATATTCAAATATATTAAACAAGATAGTGGAACGCACGCAAATAGTGGCAAGAGATTTTGATTGCGTATATCGGGCGTGTAGTATGTATATGCATGCCTAGCCTCGCAAGGCTGGTTGCCCAAGCACCAATGAACGACTGCACCTCGAATGATATCTGCTACATGACGCCAGAAACGTCACGTATGCAACATAGCATCTTTAACATGACGTTGATTCCAAATCCGTCTGTTACAAAGCTGTTAGTAATGTGGCGTCTAAATCGTTACGTACGCAAAATGACGTCAGTAATATGGCGTCTACACCATGGCGCACGCACGATGACGTCTGTAACATGGTTTCCACGTCGTGATATATGTATAGTGACGTCGTAACATGCCGTCTACATCATGGCATATGTGACAGGGACGCCAACATCACGGCATATACAACATGGAAAAGCCGAAGACACATGGAAAATATAGCATTCGAAGCGAATATATGTCTAATTATATGTTATCATTCGATATATATATATTTCATCAGCCGCTGTCACATTATATATCTATCTGATAGAAGTAATACTTAGCCAAACCCACCACCTTATGTGTAAACTGTGCTCCTAACATCAAAAATGGCACGATGGAATATCACAACTAGGGTAAATCAAACCATCAAGCAGGAAATTGCTCACTGTGCGTAGAGAACAGAGAAGCTGGAAATGTTAGCCAATATCAGATACCTCTCAATTCACACACACTAATCCAATCGTACTCGAATGGTAACCAACCATTTATAACTCATTATGCATACCAGTTACATATACAAGTCGTTCTCTAAAGGAAACTTGTGAATACAGAGTGCGATCACTGTATGCATGATGGTGAAATAACAAACATAGGTTCAGACATAGGTAACCATTAACACACGCGATAACCACCCAGCTGAGAAATTATCCGAATATACAAAACCGATTATGCGATACATACTTACACATTTGTGAGAATAAACATGAATATATTACAATTTAGAGCAGAGCACGCTACATCTTCTTATTACATAATATCCACTGGTCATTAAACTACACCAGTAGCTATTCGTCATANGCGCGCGTGTGTGTGTGTGTGTGTGTGTGTGTGTGTGTGTGTGCGTGTGCGTTGTGCGTGTGTGTTGGGGGGGGGGTTATAGTTATCGACTAGTTTAGTAAACGTAATTATAATTATAAACGGGTTAAACAGCAATAAATAATTGTAAAATATGAAGCATAACCATCAACGGTGGTACCGCAGTAACAATGTCAATCACGCCTAAGCCAGATTGAAACATTCGAATTTTAGATGAAAAGTCGACCAACTCGTTCAACTCACCAGCTTTTCATTTAAAAGTTGATAGAGTCAACTTTAGATTGATTCATTATTNGTGTGTGTGTGTGTGTGTGTGTGTGTGTGTGTCGAGTGTCGAGTGTGTGTGTGTTTGGGGGGGGGGGGGTTATAGTTATCGACTAGTTTAGTAAACGTAATTATAATTATAAACGGGTTGAACAGCAATAAATAATTGTAAAATGTGAAGCATAACCATCAACGGTGGTACCGCAGTAACAATGTCTATCACGCCTAAGCCAGATTGAAACATTCGAATTTTAGATGAAAAGTCGACCAACTCGTTCAACTCACCAGCTTTTCATTTAAAAGTTGATAGAGTCAACTTTGGATTGATTCATTATTGCTGATCCCTACGTACTGAGCACCGCCATCGACGCGTATGAGTAGGTCTTCTATGGGAGTAAGCGTAGGTACTATCTTCGTGCTGCAGGTATTGGAGTAGCTCTCATGAGCATATCGGCCTTCGCTATCGTTAATGACTACTTCGACAAGCGCTCATCGATAACCACGGGAATTCTCGTGGCCGGATCGGG